GCACTCACCATACAAGGTCTTGCAATCTCCCTGCAGCTCCCCTGCTTTTAAAGCAGGGGAGTCTACAAAACAAATCCAGCCAACTCTGGAGTTGCTTAGTCCACACTTAGTGATTGGGGTCCTTGGCATCTTCTGTGAAAGGGTATGTAGGATCTAAATTCAAATCCTGTGGCTCTTGCTCAATTTTAATATTTATCATTAAGAATAACAAATGGTGCTTAAACTCCACTTTGAGTTTCAAAGCACTTTATAAACATTAATACGTGAACACATCATCTTTCTCTGGTGNGGCAATGCATCAAAAAATTGCAACCAGACTGGAAAAAAGATTATAATTTTAAATACAACCAAAGGAACTTGAACCAGGAAGAATGAGCAAGCAAAAGAGATGGGGAAAACTGAATTGCTGCAAAATGAAGTCATGGGCAGAGTTCTTACCAGCTTTCTGCCCAATGGCCAGTGCTGTGACATAAGAAGTGACATAAACCAGCAGATTTGCCCCTTGCAATATTTACTCCACAGTCCTTGGAGATGATCAATTCTAGAGTTTTGCACTGGTGAGTGAAGATCTGGGCCCATCCAAGCCATGTGCCAGAACTGCCTGCTGTCCTCTAGAACAGCAGAACACAAGACCAAATGGAGGGTCTGCAACTGTTTATTGCTGGTGAATTCAACAACAAATTTATATTCATCTATCAAGGAATATGCAAGTAGAAGCAAATATTATGGTCATGTTCATTTGTTTCTGATTACAAAATGTATGTAAATGTATATGCAAATTAAGTGCAAGCATCAGGCTCATGGCAAAGTGCCAAACTATCCCTTAGTGTTACAAAGACTGGGGTGGCTGGCAGGGAGACACAGTGGCTGCAGGTGATGCTGGGCAGTGCCTTCACACACAGCCAAGGCTGGGTTGCTCCGAAGGGACTGGAAGAGGATAAATCCTACAGTAACTTGTCACTTTAAACGAAGCTGAGGGGCTATAGAAAAATCTGTTCCCGATGCAGTTAGAAGTGTGATAATTACAGAGCAGTGGGCTCCTCTGTCATTCAGCAGGCAGCATCCCCAGGAAATCTTGCTCTGTAATCAAGGGAAGAGGTGCAATCAAGCCCGTATTCAGCCTTCGTTTAGAAACAGCCCCTGCAGGCAACACAAAGGCTTCAGCATGGTGCTTTGTGAAGTTGGTGATCAACGTCTTGGTTCTGCAACTACAAGCAGAGTTAATGCACTTCTAAGCACATCTTCTGTTCACCTCTCCTCAGAAAGTCCAGAAGGAGTCTTGGAAGAAGAGTGAGGATTTAGGCCAAAATATGCTTGTACAAACAGTGTTGCATTCACACTGCTCACATTTGTGAGCTCACTCTTTACACAGCAGTGCCAGTGAAAGAGAAAATTTCTTGCAGACTGACAGCATGGTCCTCAATGAGCAGATACAAACAACCTCATCTGGTTTCTACAGCAGCTCAGCTTGCAAAATTTGCATGGGGAAGGTTTTCTTGGGTTTTTTCTCAGAAATATGAATGTATCTGTGATGATCAAATTCTACAGGAACCTCATTCTCTTGGCAGCAGCCTGATTCCACAGAGGCTGATAAGGTTTATTGGAGGGGAAGATGGCTCTGAGTTCAGCTTTCATGTCTAATGCCACCATTGCCCAGAAACATACAAACTAATAGCTACGCAAATCAGCCATCCTTTGTACTCTACAGAGCCATCAGATTTAGTGAACCACTTTACTCCAACTGCAATAAAAGTAGTCTCACATTTTACTCAAAACAGCCAAACTTTCCAAAGTGCACATATTTCCACTCCCACTGTATAAACTCAGACACAGAATCTGTACCTGCTCAGCTACCATCTGGGCACGTGACTGCCATGATATACACAATCCTACTAACAACTCTGGGTGCACATGAAGTGCCAAAGTATTTTTTTGGCACACCGGGGGCCCATCCTGGACAGGATTCACAGTTTCATCTCAGCCTGGAATGGTTGTTTTCTGTTGACATTCATCGTAACTTAGAGTTACAGTAGCCTATAATACTGTAAATGGAGCTTTATTCCATCACAGTACATTATCAGCAGGTTCCACTCTCTATTTACTCCTTCTATCTCTGGCCACAAAATAAATGAGTTTGCTATGGTTTTACCATCTGCAGACATAGGTATCAGTCAATAGCCAAGTAATGGCCTGGACATTGTCAAGAGAACTCATTATTTAAAAGGTACATATTCATTTAGCTGTTCAAACAGAACTTATTATTGATTGGATCCCATCAGTTCCCAGTAAGAGAGCCAACTCTGGTGTTGAAATTAAAATATGCACAGAGACTACAGACTAGTAAATACTATAATGGAGTGAAGGTTCCCCTCCCAAAAAGGGAGTTGTTCATATCCAGTTGAGAGGCCAATCTTTTTCAAAAGTGAGACTGGGAATAAAATAACCATGTTACTTCTGCATATATCCAGAGGCATGATAAAGATACAAAACAAAGGGGAACAGTTTTGACAACAAACATCTCAATCTCTTGGGGAAACAAAAAGCAAACAAAGAAAATACAAGTTGTTTAATGGCCAATCAAGCCACAGGCAGGAAGAGCCTGTAACCAGTTCTGCCATTCCTGCCACATCCTACTGTTTATCAGTGGAGGCTCTCCCACAGGTGCAGAATTGAAAGAACATCTTAAGCTTTTCAAAGTCAGACAAAAAGGTAGATATACTTAATTTGGTTCCTGCTTTTTTTCTTGCCACTTTTCTTTGTCTGCTTGTTTCCACTTACTAAACAGCCTTTTCTTTTGGTTTTCCCATTCATCTGCACAGACACTGTAACATTTTTTCAATGACAGCATTTAACACACAGAAATCATCACTGTTACAGCATAAAGGAGGCAGAAAACAAGGCTGATTATAAAATTCTAACATAAACCAACTATACACCATTTAGTAATATATGAGAAAACAAGAAGAATCAAACAAGGTAATGACTGTGGAAATCTCTACATTTGATCCATTGGAGAAGTTCTCCGCACAGCATCTTCTCTGAGATTGAAAAGACCCCAGCTAACAGTGAGTTAAAAGTATTTGCTTAAGAAGGCACATTGTGACGAACTTCTTTGTTCACCCTTAACACCAGGTTGGGCTGGAAACTGATGAATCACTATAGGAAACAAACAGCAATGGTGACTCACGGCTTCAAAAAGTAACAATAGCACTGCTTTATCCATGGTGTATACAACAAAAATATCCCTGGATTCATTAGTAGATGTATTTCAGATTGTTCCACCCACCCAGGAAATGCAGAAAGTCCACCCCCTGAGCTCTGGTTAGAGTTCTCACAATTGCCCAGAGGTAGATGAATTTCTGCTTACTTACAGCACTTTCTCAAGAGGTTCACTGAAAACCATATGCTGTTGATGTCTTGAGCAGCTTCCCAAGGAGCCTGGATCCATTAGCCCAGCAGTAGACAGAGCCTTATATCGTTATGTTTCAGGTTTCACACGCCTGTGTGGCTCTTGCAATATTCTATCACCATACCTGGCATTTAGACCTGAGGTGTGTTTGTTCCATAAGCATGTGAGGATCAGGCTAGTGGCCCAGCTCCTGAACTGCCTGGTCACAACCAGAAGTCTGTCCAGCTCCACATAAGTCATGGCTCAAGCACAGAAAATAGTTCTGGCTCATTAATGGTTTGAACTAATCAGGTCAGAGCAAATAGCCAGGAAGGATTCTGGTGTTCAGCACTTCACAGCCTCACACCTCTTGTCTAATGCTCATGTACTGTTACTGTATTATTTGGATATAAAGCCAAATTTTCTGTTATTATTAAAATCACCTTAAAATGAATGCACATATGGATGCTATGTTTATTTTCCAAATTTTCCCTTCCTATAAAAACATTTTGCTTCTCCATCTAAATGCAGACTGCAAACGTAGAGATGTAGGGCTTTTTACTTAGATATCAAGAGTATAAAGACTGTTTTCACCACTTCTCACATTGTACAGACTAAACTCTGATTATTCTAGTTTCACTGCCAAAAGAAGTGAACAAATGGTAGTCTTGAAAATATATTACTGCAAATATTTCCATTGACAAAATTTCGGGTAGGGTTTTTTTTCCTTGAGATTGGACACTTCTTGTCCAGGTTTCATCTTTGGTTTAAGCTCAAACTGTGGTGCTTAAAGCCAAATGTCATAAATAATGTTGTGATTCTCAGATTCACACAGGGATTTTCAGCTGACTTACTTAAGTCTCCTGCACATACAGAGTTAATTACCATCACATTGCTAAAGACCAAAGGAAGAATCTGAAATACACTTCATCATGTGGTTTGCATAACTTAAAACTTTCAAACTCAAATTCAAAAAGAGAGTATAAACAATGCAGAAACATTCAAATCTCTCTTCCCTTTGCAACACTAAGTAAGATCAATTTAAAAAGCAATTTAAGCAATTTAATCAAGGATGCTAAAACAATCAAGGTGCCATTCAGTGATTAGTATGCAAGCAATTGTAGGGAAACATGGGGCTTCCACAGGCTAGCAACAGCTAACATCAAATAAGTATACACTGTCATGTCAATCAGTTATGTCAGCAATATATATATATGGCTCCTGTTTGCTGACACTTCCCTCCATTTTCAGGGACTACTGAAAAAAGCCAGCCATTGCTTTTACCAAAACTAATCTAGGGTACTTCTTAATTTTATTTACCAATTTCTGTTCTCTACTCTTACTAATAAGTTGCTGATGAAGTGAATGATGATGATGATGAAAATCTGTCCATGCTACAAGTGAAGCATCTTTTCAGCAAGATACTTGTTGCAGTTCCTCACAGCCTATCTACTCCCATTTCATTACTCCTATTTGGAAAAAGAATGGTGGAATTTGAATTCCTCTGATAACCATCACCAGGAGAAAGAACTCTGTCATAGCCCTGCTAAACAACAAAATAACTCTTTGGATTGTATAAAGGTCCGTGAGAAGCAGGGAAGCATTCTCTTACCTTCGGAACATAGTTTGCCAGCATATCCAGTGGCTGAGCAGTCACAGTGTGGCTCACCATCCAGAAGGAAGCAAGTGCCACCATTTTCACAGGGGTTTTCTGAGCAAAGTCCTTCCATTTCCAGTCGGACCCCTTGACTGCCCAGGAGCTGCGGTTCAGAATTGCCGTATTTCAGATCCAGGATAAATCCTTGAAATGGAGGCTCACTCAGAACACCATCAAGAGTCAAGGCAGCAGGACGAATGTCCAGTGGGACTCCACCAATAAAAAGGTCACTGACGATGTTCATGTGCTGGCGTTGTGGACGCACCTCACCTGGCTTGGCTTCACCATCCAGCACTAGCACTGTCCGCAGGTGATTGCGGCTGACCATCAGGAAGTGCCAGTTGCTGTCGTTCACCTGCTTGTCTGTGATAACTGTGGTCTCTGCACAGTCCACACTGAACTGCAGCTGGATGCGCCCATCAACCAGGGACAGACAGAGGAAGTCACAGACACCACCATCATCAAAATAGAGAAGCAGCCCAGCAGAGACATTGGTCTTGAACTGGAAGCTGAGTTCGCTCCTAGTGCTGGCATCCCAGCGGAGGTAGCGGGCCCACTGATTGGGAATGCCCAGGAACTCCAGACCCAAACAGAGACCCAGCAAGGAGCCCAGCAGCAAACTCACCTTCCAGGTGAAGTAGATAGAATGCAGAGTGAAGCCCATTGTTTCAAGAATCTTCTCTTCCCTAGGAGAACAAAAGCAGCCACACGTCTGGGAGGAGAACCCCAGCAGTCAACACCAAATGTTAAATCCAAAAGGAAGAGAAGAAGAGCAGAGAGAGTGACAGAGAGCAGAAGAGTAAGTGGCAAGTGAGATTGCAAGTGCACGTGACCAAGAGGAAGTGTCTCCTCCCAAGGAAAGATCTCAATTATCCTTTAGGAACCAGAGGCTTTTCTCAGAAGTACAGGGTACATGAAGTGACTTCTCCAGATGATGTACTTCTCTGAAGGGCAAAATAACCTACAGTGATTTGTTTTGGTAGAACACAAAGGTGACACTGGTGTTCCAGGAGGAAGGAAAGGGAGAGCCAAAGCCCAAGCCTAAAATTCCTGTTTTCTAGAAGTGATGACAATGTTGACGGAGATGACAGTGAGATAGAAGAGAGAGTGAATTCATAAAGCACGTGAACTTCAAGAGGGCAAAAATAAAGTCAATCTTCATGATGCACTGGTGGATACCCAGCCCATAATTCACTGCTTGGCACTCACGGAACTTGCAGGACCTGTAGGATCAAGACAAAAAAAGAAATGGAAAAGTTAATCTTACTACTCAGCATATCTTTACTATGAAGCTTATTAACATCTTGTCCAATAAATCAATTACATACTCTGGATACTTCTTCATGCTTGCAACTGGCTGTACAGGTCTCAAAAGCAGCAAGGACATCTATGTCCTCAAAACAAAGAGGCCAAAATAGAGAACTCGCCAAGTCATCTGCACACATAACAATGATGAGCAATGTAAAAGTACACCAAATTATTTAACTCGTTTGATGGATGCAATCTCATTGATTTTACTGAGAAATGGTGCTAGAGCTTCCCCAGTGACTATTACCTCTCCATGAAAACGCTTAGGGGAAAGACCAGGGTTCCTTAGAGTTTAAAAGCTGGTAAGGGCAAGAAACGCCATTACTCCAACTTCCTATTCCATTGCTTGCATTAGGCTTCCTAGCACACCAAGGAAGCATTAGAGAAGACAACCCTGCTGTCAGCCTGTTACACAATAGCTGCTTTTACTTTACATGTCTTGCTTACTTTAAAGACCCTACCACGGACCTCTACAACCTGGAAACACGCACTGTGCAAATTATATATGGCAACCTGCAGCTTAGATGATAGCAAACTTGTAGCTTAGATGCTAAGAACTGTCTAAACACTTAACCACTTACCCTGGTCTAGTGGCCTTTTGGCAAAAAGGCCAAATTCACCCCTAATTAAAAGCAAAGAATTCTAACTGCCTGCAATGAGTTTTTTTCTGTTAACACTGGGATTTAACTCACTTCTGCATACTTGCATGTGGGTGATTGTATGCCTAGTGTAGGAGGATGTTTTAAGTGACAAGTAAAGGCAGCACAAAGCTAGGCTCATTCTTTGAAAATCCTACCCAAGAAGAAAGTTAGTTTTCTATTAACACTGGTGTTTGTTCACAAAGAGGAGTTGGACACAAGAACAGCTCTAGGAATGACTAACATTAGCATTGATACAAAGCAGGAAAGGAGGTAATAAGAATCAAGGCCTTCGGCCTCACAGAAGTCAGCATGAACACAGCTTCCACAAACTGGAACACAAACATTGTGAGGAAGTATTTGCTTGGGAAAAGTATTTTGTGCTATGGACCGTAAGAGTTGTTCATCAGCAGATGCCTTTCAATCCCATCACCTATCTTGCTTGGAAGGAGAAGGCACACAGACACTGCAGAAGTGGGCAGTGCTGGAAAGTTTCTGTTTGGTAGGGCCAGAGGTTGAGCTGGAGGAGAATCCCTAGGAAACAGAAGGGAGAGGTCACACAGTCACACCCTCATCTGCCTCAGGGACCTGCAGAAGCCGTAAGTCTCCAGGGCTGTCAGTCTGACAAATTTAGCCAGCCCAAAAAACAAGTCACTTAGAAAACAAAAGGGATCGATTAAAAAAAAACAAAACAGCAACTTGGAGAGAAATGTGTGCTTTCAGTGCTGAGTGGAAACCAGGCCTGTTCCCTGCAGCTGCCTGAGTGGAGCGTGTTAGCTAAACTGCTATAAACACAAATAAAATCAAGTCAAAACCAGAGGGAAGATAATTCCTTTTAATTGTTAACAGCTTGGCTGAGGAAAATAGAAAGTGGGAAAAGGAGGTGTTAGGAGAGGTGTAAAACGAAAAAGAAAAGAATTAAACACAGAATCCAATTCCTCAATTCATTTGTCTTCCCAATAATCACAATGTTGGCTAAATTCATAGGGGTTTTGAGGGGATTCTGAAAAACTAATTGGGAAAAAAATTATGTGGTTCTTGTCCATTTACCTTTCTTCTCTGTGCTCCCTAGTGGATCCACTAAAATAGCCCATGATTTATAGAGAAGAACAGAGTGAGAGAAAGGTAAGAGAGAAAGTGATGACCCAAGCCTGGAATTACTGATGAGATGGAAATGGGAACATCATAATGTGTGTAAATTAACCAGTGATGTGCTTCCAGCAGCTCACAGCTTCCTGGACCATTTACTACCACCATGGCAAAATTCACTATTCCACCAGACAGCTCTGTGCTCAGCCTGAGCTGAGAAGGGCAACAAGCCCAGCATGGCAGCAACCATCCACAGAGACCCCAGTGCAGCAGGGCTCTTGCCCCAGCTTTTAATTCTCCTGGACAGGGCAGTCTGTACCATCCGCATCAAAAGCGGCCCTCAGCCTTATACTCTTCTCTCCCTGTTTTAGAAGATCAACACTTTGATAAGCAGTGAAAGATGGTGTAAATCACAGCAGCAGATGTGAATATTATAGATAACCAGAGATGAGATGCCTATGTCCACACATAGTTCAAACTCCTGTCTGAAAAGCCTATAAATCTCTCCCAATCCCAAGGTGCTAAAACCCTGTTTTACACAGACAAATCCCAGCCTCCTTAGTCCCTTCAATCCCTGGGATATTTCAGAGGTACAACAATGGGAGTAGGCTACCTCTGTGGTGCAAATTTCTGTAATGATACAAGTTCATTAGGGCAGGACAAAAGGCATAGTCAACAAGGGAAACCAGACAGAAATAGTTAAACAAGAATAGCAGTCTTGACTGAGGAAAGCCAAGGCAATTCTTTCTGTTTTGATTGAGAGAAGCCAAGGTAATCCCTTGCTAGCTGTTTTGAAAGAAGAAAGTGCCAGCTCTGTTTCAGAATCAGAAGAGGAAGACAATGCAAAAAACATGAAATATGGGTGTCATTGCTGGGTGCTTCATTGCCTTTTAGACACTGCTGCTCAGGTTTTGGGAAGGCTGCCCACACCCAGCCACTAGCAGGCGAGGGCCATCTGTGACTCCCCCAGAGCTTGACAGCACACGTCAGTCCTGACTCACGGTGCTTCCCATTACTCCAGTTTCATGTCTCACACTGTTAAGTCTGTGAGAGCAAATCTTACCACAGCAGCAGGGTCCTCAAGAAGAGCTCAGAAGACCCAGTGCCCCTTATAGCAGGAGGCAGGATCTGTATCCCAGCCTTTGAGAGAAAATCCTGACACACCAATTGTATGCCTCACCCATTCCTACAATGAGTCTCCAAGACATGCTGAGAATGAATAATTTTCTGCTCTTACTATTTTATTTTTAGCATAAATACTACCCTAGCAGCCTCAGAGCACACTGCTACCATAGCAATACAGTTTGGGACAAAAGCTACAGAATCTCAGACTATTGTCTTACATATTTTCTCTCTGAGAAATCTCATTGTCATGGCATGAACACATCTTGCATAAAAAGAGACTTCATGACGGACAGCAGCAAGCAAGTTATCTCCACTGCACTTCCAACAGCTTGTACCACCTCCCTGGCCCACCTGAGAGCTGCAGCGACAAGGAACCTGCACACTGAGCAGACGGCTCAGCATCTCACACACACCAAACCCACTTTAGGAAACACACCACTTGCATTATTGAAACATCCCACTCACAGGGCTGACAGAGCTGCACAAGTTCCCCAGCCAGGAAAGGGATGCAGCCCCACTACAGTGCCAAAGGCGAGTGCTGCCTAACCACCACACCCTTTCCCAAACTTGACAGCAGTCTATTAATGCCAGGTCAGAGCCAGCTGCTCAGCAGCCCACGGAGCGGGTCTAGCCCTTGCTTTGAAGTGGCTCTCAACCACTTATCAGCTGTATACAGAGAGTGAGTGACATTATCTAATTGCCAACTAATTTCCATAATTACTGACTGGCACACTCTGTATGCAGGGTTAATATCTTTGCAAACGTCTTGAAACACACCTGCTTAGGAAAGGGGGTGAGAAGCTGTTGCTCTGCAGCTTATTTACCCAACTGCACAGAAAGGTTGCAGGAGATGGGTTTGTCACTCTCTGTCCTCCCTTCTCTACTACCTCCCTCTCTGGCTGCTAATTGCTTGGGGATGGATTTACTTGTATTTGAAAGTATAATTTTCAGCAGAAAGAAGAAGAGAGTCAGATGAATTCAAAGACAGGCTGGTTTCCCTTGCAAACTCCTGCCTCAGCAGCCCAGTGCAAACCTGTCTAAGTCCTGTTATTCCACTTCAGGATGCTGGACAAAATCCCACTGACACATGGATGGGAAAGATTTACAGTCCACCCAGTCTGACATCCTCTTCCACAACTAGAACTATTCACTATGCCACACTTTGTGCATAAGGAAAAATACACACTGGTCACCTAGGATCCATGTATACATAATACCCCATGTGAACTCACTTTTGTCCTTTTCTTCACTCTAAAACAAGCAGAATTCAATTGTTTTCTTTATTCCCCAAGCCCTAATGAAGCAGCAGAGCTTTAGGAAGCAGTAAACAGGATCCTAATTTGGCTCTGCATCCACGTGTCTTCCCTCAATTGGTGCAAAGCAGAGCAATCAAATCATTACAGCTCTATGACATATGTTGCTCAAAATGACACAGTAAAATTTATCCTCAATAATTGATATGAAAAGTCAAGCTTGCTAGCAGAGAGAAATGGGGAATTCATTG